AATCTAACAGAAGCTACGCTATGCTGACGCAGATGCTCCAAGCAAGTCCAAGCCTTGGTAGGCCCCAAAGCCGTGCCAGATGTCAAGACCCCAGGACTTGCAGATTTGGATGCCAAGATGAAATTGCAGCAAGTCATTCTGTCCAATCCTCGATGCGCTGGTCCAACCTCCACTGCGCACATTCGCTCTGTTCTGAAGTACCACTTTCAGAAGGAGAAAGAAGAAAAACCAGCAAAGTACGTCTTGGCAGCAGTCAAAGACCTCTTGAAAGTTGGCATCTTGCAAGAGGTTGACAAGAAGGAAGTGGAAGAGCAGGCGCCCAAACTTAAGGACAAGAAAAGCGCCAAGAGCAAGGAGGCCACGCTAAAGAGCGAGCCACGAGGCCCGCCAGGTGGCCACGCTGTCCTGTACTACCAGACATGTGCCTGGGAAGACCTTTTGACTAATTCGGAAGCTCAAGACATGATTGCCAAGCTGCAACTGAGTGCCAATGATTTCAAGTAGGATTCCAGAAATACGAGGTCTTGCACGGTCCCATGTCTAAACTGCCAGCCCAAAAAAAGAGTGACAATGTGCTCCAAAGCACTTGTTGTATATAAGTCTTGTTTCCAAAGATACGCGTCAATAATGGTGCGATTCCTCGAAATTAAGCTCTGGCTTCTTTCCAGCCCGAGCGTGTTCCTGACCCTACGAGGTGAATGCTTTCAATCAAGACTGTATGGTGGCTGCAACATATTGTGCGTCAATTTCAATCAACCCACCCATTTTCATGACAAGACATTGTGGTGTGAAGATCTTACATAGTGGTTCATCATCGTGTCCAAAGCCACATTCAAAACAGTCTGCTCGGCCTTCTAGTGTTCAATCGTGTGCGCTGGTGGCATGAGATTGACAAAGGCCCAATCTACTCTTTTTGAGGCAAAGCGGACAGCCAACACCGCGGCTCCGAAATAGTTTGCGCGGCGCATGTGAAGCCACTGTTCGCTGAACATAGCCGTTCGAGATGTTGAAGCAAGACACATGTTTTATTTGTTCCTGATCCAGTCCAAGAAAGAATTGAAACTTGCACCTGTTTTTTCTGTTTTCTACCATCCTTTCCAACTGCGATATATTTTTTCTGCTTCATGGGGGAAAGAAGACTCACGGGAGTCCTGTCCACACCGACCATGTCGCTGACTCCTGCGTCTGCAGGTGCCGATGCTAAGTGGCACCAGGACAACGGCTTCTACCTTAGGGATTCAGCAGATGCTGATGCCAGCATGCGTGATGTTGGTACGCAATCAAATAGAGATGGCACAATAGTCCACTCCTCACTGTGACCATCGGGTCTGTGGTCCCGCGGGGCCCGTGCACTGCGCGTCGGTGCGCATTCCCGGAATGGCTGGAGGTTGCTTCCGGTGATGCTTGATGCACATTGGTGTCAAGCAATGTTCAACGCAATTTTTCGAGGACATGTTTAAACATAGTCGATCTTTGTTTGGTCTCATACAGACCTTGTACAAAAGGATCTTGCACAGCAGCGTCTAGAAAGAACCTGTCAAGGAGATCTTGCACACGTCTTCTACAAAGGGAACTTGCAGAATCCAATCTGGTATTGTTGCAACGGTGTTTGGAGTCGCCCCCCTCGCCCCACTCGCCCTACTCGCCTCACTCGCCCCACTCGCCCCACTCGCCCCATTCGCCTCACTCGCCCCACTCGCCCCACTCGCCCCACTCGCCCCACTCGCCCCCCTCGCCCCACTCGCCCCACTCGCCCCACTCGCCCCACTCGCCCAAACATTCCATTCACGTTGCCACCTCTATTCCTTTTTCATACTGCTGTGTGCTGAAACCAAAGCAAGCAGGGCAAGCGGGGCAAGCGGGGCAAGCGGGGCAAGCGGGGCAAGCGGGAAGAACCACCGATCTTCCCTCGGCTTGCAAGTAGGGCAAGCGGGGCAAGCGGGGCAAGCGGGGCAAGGAGGAAGATTCACTTATTTTCCCTAGAAGCGGAGCAAGCGGGGCAAGCGGGGCAAGCGGCAGAAATCACTTAGCGGCCCCGCGGGGCACCCACACTGCCCTCTCAAGTATTTTAAAATATTAGAATAAATAATATATATATATATATAATGAATATTATATAAATTTGTTGTATTTTTAGATAATTTTAGACGAATAATATGAAATTTGTATGAATGGTTGTATGTTAAATTATTTTTATATTTTAAAAAATTATTATATATATATATAATTTTAAAATGAATAAGATGAAATTTATATGAATTGGTTATATGTTAAATTATTTTTGTATTTTAACAATTTATAAAATACATATAATATTAGAATGAATAATAATATGATTTTTTTTTAATTGGGGTATTTTCGATTTATTTGGTTTTAAGACTCCGAGAATTTATTATTTATATATTTGCTTAGACGGGTAATAATTATGATTTTTACGGTTAATTAATTAACAAAATTAATATAAATATGGTTTAATATTTTATATTTTTAGGTTTGCCCGTAATTTTATATATATATATAAATTTCTTGAAATATAGTTAATTTACTCCCGGATTCTTATTCTCCTTATTCCCCCCCCCCTCCCCACAAAACCTAGTATTTACATATTATTTGTATATATATATATTGTAAGTTCCTGCCTATTCGCATGTGCATTTACTTCTTCGATTTCCATGCAGCTGGAAGCTCCTCGAGGTTTGTGGAAAAAGCGTCCGAACGCTGATTCCAATCGTTTGCAATTTCATGGTAGCGGAGCCTGGTTTTTGTGAGATCTTAGCCCAGAGGCGAAAGATCAAAGAAGGTCCAGGGAAACAGACTATAGCAGAAGATGCCGGGAGATAGTCTGGAAAGAAACAAGGAAGGGATACCAACGTATGATGGGACAGCTGAGAAGCTGTCGTTATTTAGGGAGGAGGTGTTAGCTTACACCTTCACTCTGGAACACCACAAACGGTACTTGGCCGGTCCTAGACTGGCCAAAGAACTGACAGGTGTAGCAAGAACAGTGGTGCGTAAGAAGCTGGCACAAGATCCTCAATGGCTTGCACACCCTCGAGGAGCCTACGTTCTGATCGAGTACCTCGAACAAGCAATTGAGACTCCTACGTTAGTCCAGGCTTCAAACCACATACACAAGTTCTTCTACCAGCTTCGCCGTCGCAAAGGTGAAACGATGACGGAGTGGATCAACCGTCACAGTGAGAGCATGTGGGAGGCGTCGAGAGCCCTCAGGAGGGTCCAGAAGGAACATGGAGTGCAATCGGCCCAAAAAGGGTTTGAGCCACCAGCCAGCAACAGCAGTCAGCAACTCTCAGGAGAGCGATCCTCGTGGGACTCGCGTCAACCAGCTCGTAGTGGGGGTCCAGGCGTCTTTGATGAAAATGGACGCATGACTGAGGATGACGATGATGCGGAGGATGAAAGATGGTCCTCGGCAGGTTGGTCACACCAGTCTCAGCATCGTCAAGGATGGCAAAGCTGGGACAATGATGATTGGCAACAAGACCGATGTCAGAGCTGGCGTAGTGAGGAGTTTCAGCCTCCAGCCAGCTGGGAGACTGACGTCCAGGACTTCTTGCCTGACTTTTTGACCGGTTTCCTGCTGCTGAATCGAAGCGGTTTGGATGCTCATGAGCGTGCCAACATTTTGGCTGCCATCAGGGGTGAGTTCTCCGTGAAGAACGTGGAGAAAGCACTTCGAGAACAATGGAGAGATGATGATCTGTCCAAACGAGACCGCATCAAGCAGTATGCCAACATTGCCTTTGACGAAGGAGAAGAAGATGATGATGAGGCCTTGACGGCCAACATGGAGGCTCCAGACCCATCTCATGACCCACACGGCTTTGAGGCTTTCATGTGTGACCAACATGAGATTGATATGGCGCTGGAAACTATCCGAGACAAGAAACGCACCTTGAAGGAGGCGCGCTGGCGCCAACAACAGGTGAAGATGAACCGGAAGTTCTACCCTTCTACTCCATACCGTTCCTCTTCACGGTCTTCGGCTCCACCTTCTACCAGTCACGATATGGTGGGAGAAAAGTGCCTAGCCTGTGGAGGGCGTCACAAGACCTCTAGCTGTCCAGTCAAGTCACAGAAAGCCAATCTGGTTGAAGAAGAGGCCGAAGTGGCCTTCAGCGCATCTGACTTTGAACAGGCTTCTCCTGCAGATGAAGGAAGAACGTCTGACCTGACTCACAATATCATGCAAGGCAAGGGGATCATCGACTGCGGGGCCACCTCGACCCTTGGCTCTGTCGATGCCATTGAAAGCCTGATGCAGCTGAATCGAGAACGACATGGCCGAGATCGGGTCACAGTGGATCCAAGTCACAGGCCCACTTTCAAGTTCGGCAACAACAGCACTCGCGACTGCATCTCCTCCGTTGACCTAGGGGTGGACTTGGGAGGAAAGGTGGGGAAGCTCAAGGTGCATGTATATGATGTTCCGAATCAGCCAGTGTTGATTTCTGTGAAAGCTCTCAAAAAGTTGGGAGCAATTGTAGATTTTTCTCGAAATGAAATTTTGTACAAACATGTGGATCCCAAAGCAGTCGTCCCTTTGGAAGTAGCTAGCAACGGTCACTGTTTGATGCCTCTTGGAGGAGATTTGCTAGCAGGCGCTGTCATGCGTGCCCAGCCTTTTTCCAGCTTGGCTGAGGAATAGGGATGTCGCTCCTCTGGGGACCATGGACAAAAAGCCCAGGGGAGCTGCTGTAGTGAACTTTCAACATGTCACTCATGCCAACTGCTTTCTGTACAGCGAGGGATTTGTATGTTTTGTGATGCACTCCAAGAATCAACTAGTATAACGGGGTCCCTAAGATCTAACCAGAGTCTGCCACCAGGTCACATGTCAGAGCCAAAACGCCACTGCCTTTCCGCAGATCAGAACATCCAGCCAGAAGCCAAGGTTCATGTGGATCCGCAGTTGTCAGCCACAGATCCCAAGATTCAGCCCCAGATCCGTGCAAGTTCAACCATCGCTCCTTGCAATCATGCCCAGCGAGACTCGTGCCGACTTGATGGTCAAGATGGTAGAGATGGGCGAAGTGCCTCCAGCCCATTGGACGGTGATGCAGCTCAAAGCTCGGATTGCCGAGCTACGCGCCTCGTTGATCGAGGACCAACCTGTCACCCTGAAGCAGCGCCTTGCCGAACTCAACAAGGTAGCCAAGAAGAAGACCACACTGGTGGGATGGGCAGAAGCCAAACAACTTCCCATTACTGCCAACATGACCATTGCCCAGATCTATGCCATGGCCGAGCAGCACATCACCAAGGAAGTGCCGGCCAGTCCCATGGAGAAGATGAGTTTCGGCACACACCGGGACAAGACCTATGTGGAGGTGTGGTCCCAACACCAGAGCTACGTCCGATGGGCGATCCAAACGATGGAGGAGTCAGACAGTGTGAATTGGCACCTCCAGAGGTTTGCCACATGGGCCATGACCTACAAGGGCTCACCAGCTGTGGCTACGATGCCTCCCCGACCACAGTTGGGGTATCCGGGGAATGGGCACCGATTCCACGTCCTCCGTTCTCCCGGAGACTCATCCGATGCCTCGTTCAGCATGGTCGAGAACGACCACCAAGCAGAGCTCGAGCAGCTTCGCCAGGAGCTCGAGGTCACGAAGAAGGAGAAGATGGAACTGGAACTTGCAGCCGGCCGAGTCAAGAGCCGCCGCGAGACCTGAGCCTCTCTGATGGAGAAGATGCTGAAGCACTGAGCGCCTATCCGGAACAACACTGTCATGAGCACCATAAGCATATAGGTAGGAATTGGAAAGAAGAAAATAATCCCTTTTCCAAAGCCTGGTCAGAACTAGTGCAGTCCCAAAGACTGTTCCTTTTGGAGGTTGCTTGCTCTGAACGCAGTGTGCTCACACAAGAAGCGTGCCGGTGTTTCGGCGAACACTCAGCCCAGCGTTGTTCCATCTGGAATGGTTACGACCTGACATCAACGGAAGGAGTCCAACGACTCAAGCAGCTGATAACCCAGCTCCGACCTCGGCATGTTTGGATTTCATGTGACTGTGGCCCATACTCACCATTACAGAGATTGAATCAACATAATGAGGAACAAATAGCCAAACTACATGAGAAACAAACATATGCCCAAAAGGAATATCTGGGGGGAATTGCAGTAGCGGAATTTGCACGTCAGTTAGGCTCCGAGATCCATTGGGAACTTTCCGAAAAATGTGAAGTTTGGAACCTTCCGACAGTCAGTGAATTCGTGGAACGCCAGGGGTTGCGCAAGCTTACCTGCCACGGATGCACAGTGGGGTTGCGAGCCTCCGACACTGGTGAACTCATGTGCAAAGGGTGGACAATAGCCACCTCCCATGCGGGGGTCCTCAAACACATGCATTTGCCATGCCAGAAAAACCACAGAAAAACCGCATGCGAGAGTGGACGTCCGAAACAGTCCGCATTTTACATACCTGTGTTTGCCAAGAAGGTCATCGAGGCCATGCAATTTCACGAACCTTGGTCACTCGTGGTGCGTGATTTACAGGCAAGTTCCCAACCCTGCAGTGTTCAGCCACTGAACCACCTCGTTCCCGAGGTAGCAGCCGTTGCAGCAAGTGATCTCCCAGTTGTGGAACAGCAGAGAATTCAGAAACTTCTCAAGCATATTCACAGTGTGTCTGGTCACGGTTCAACTGCCACCATGGTACAAGCCCTACAGAAAAGAGGTGTCCCAGATCACGTGCTGGAATTGGCTCGCCAGTTCCAATGTCCCATCTGCTAAGAGCGAAAGCGTACGGCACCAAGACGGCCAGCCTCGTTGGAAACTATTCCCTTGAAATGGCAAGTGATTCAGTCCGACATGGGCTCTTGGTACCATCCCATCACAAAGAATAAGTGCAAATTTGTCCTTTTCATAGATGAGGGTTGTCGGTTTCGCGCAGGTAAGATTCTTTTTGAGAACTCACGCCAGCAGGCAACATGGCCGGTAATTCAAAACTACTTCGAAGAGCACTGGCTGGCGCACCATGGACAGCCGGAATGTATCAGAGTAGATCCTGAAGGTGTGTGGAGAGACGAAGCAGCCGATGTTTACTGCCGAGAACGTGGCATCAATCTCTTACCCATTCCAGCGGCGGCACACTGGCAGGTAGGAATTGTAGAAAATGCCATTAAAGCTGTAAAACATGTCATGTCAGCCTTAGCCGAAGAGTTTAAGGATATGACCACACAAGAGCTGTTTTCCAGAGCACTATGGGCATGTAACTCCAGAGATAACCATATGGGATATTCAGCGTTACAGCATGCAACCGGTAGGTCTCCTGATGAGTGGGGTCGATTGTTTGAGAGCTCTCAACACCACCACCCAATCCATCCCACCAGAACAGTTGCGAGCGGCTTCCGAACGTGAAATTGCCATTGAATCTCTTAAGGGTCCCATAGAAATTCCTTGGACTATTACTTCATTAGCCACTCATCCAACCCGTAAGACGTATGTTGATGTGTCCCGGGATATCCCCTCAAATGAAGAGTATGTTGATGCTGCAGGTCATCCCACTGAAAGCCGGAAATTTACATCCAAACGCAAGAGCCCTGTGGTACCAGAAGCTGACTCACAAGGAGTTCGCAGCCGCACAGATGACATGGACCTAGGTCTCAACGCCTGTGCCCAGCATGACGCCGAAAACCATCCCACTGTGGAATCCACAGTTTCCGGGGTTGAAATAGAGATTGAGTTGCCCAGCTCAAAACGAGCCATGCAAAAGTTCATGGAAAGTCCCGAAGCCTATGTAGTCAATCAACTTAGGAAGCAAACTGTGGAAGTCAATGAACGAAGGCTCACACCAGCCGAACTGGAACAATTCAATCTCGCCAAGCAAAAAGAAGTGCGTAACTATATTCAGTCATACTGTTTCAAGCTGATGCCACCCCACCTGCAGTGTGACACCAGAGATGCTGTAGGTATGCGATGGATTTTAACTTGGAAATCCATGCAGGACGGCACCGATGCCAAAAAGGCCAAGGCAAGAGCAGTAATCCTGGGGTACCAAGATAAAGCCTATGAACATAAGCAGACTGCCTCACCCACACTGAGTAGAGTAGGTCGTCAAGCTTTTCTGGTTTTCTGTGCCCAAATGCATTTCCGCATCCAGAAGGGTGATGTGTCCTCAGCCTTTCTCCAAGGTGACAAACTAGAGGAAGACATGTGGGTGATTCCCACGCGAGAAATTTGCCAAGCTCTGAATGTGCCCGAAGGGACAGTCACCAAACTGGAACGTGCTGCCTACGGCCTTGTTGAAGCACCGCTTTGGTGGTATAAGAGTGTCTCCAAGTTTTTGGCATCGATTGGCTACGTAAGGATGAAGTCCGAACCATACATGTGGGTTTTCTATGACGAACAACATCAACCGAGGTCTATCATTAGTGGTCATGTTGATAACTTTTTATTTGGTGGATCACCACATGATGAAGTTTATCTCAAGCTCATGGCTGCCATCCAAGCAAAATTCTCCTGGGGCCAATGGGAAAACACACCATTTGTGCAATGTGGAGTTAAGATTCATCAACGTGATGACTACGGTTTTGATCTTAGCCAACAAGAATTTGTAGATAATCTGAAACCTATCTACCTTAGCAAAGACCGGGAAAGAATGAGAAGCAGCTCCACCACTGACCAGGAAAAGACCCAACTGCGTGCCGTGCTGGGAAGCCTGAGCTGGCTTTGCGGCCAAACAGACTTCGTCCATGCCTCTGACGTAGGTTTTCTCATTTCCACCGTTCCTCAAAGCACTGTGCAGGATATTGTCAAAGCCAATCAATTGATACAAGAAGTAAAAAGAGATCCAGTCAAACTGACCCTTCATGGAATGACAAAAGGAACTCCTCTTGACATGATTGCATGGGCGGATGCAGCATGGGCCAACCGTCCTGACAATACCAGCAGTACTGGAGGAATAGTGATAGGAGCTGCACCACGGCTGCTCCGAGATGGCAAGCTGTGTGCCATCAATTTGTTGTCGTGGCGTTCCTACAAAATAGATCGTGCCAGCAGGAGTCCCGCCTGTGCAGAGACTCATGCGGTAGTAGATGGAGAGGATGAGCTGTACCATGTGCGCTATCTGTGGACAGAGCTTCACCATGCACCGCCCATAATGCAGCAGTGGACATCCGATCAGATCGTCCAACAAACTCCAGGTATCCTAGTGACCGACAGCCGCAACTTTTTTGATAAGCTTTGGAAAGATATCCCCATCATCAAAGGTGCTGAACGTCGTGCCGATATAGAAGCGCTTACCGTAAAAGAATCCATGTCTTCTACTGGTTTGATGCTCCGTTGGGTACATAGCGATGCATAGTTAGCTAATTCCAACACTAAGCCCTCTGAGAAGCACCAAGTTCACTTATTTCAAAAATTGCAAAGTCACTGGCGGATAGTCTATGATCCCGAGATGATGTCTGCTCGACGCAGGAAAACGGCAGGTCTGGAACCAATGGCTGATTCCAATTTTGTCTCAAGAGTACATCACTAATTTTTTTAATATTTGGACCTGTGCAAGTTCCTGCCCATTCGCATGTGCATTCACTTCTTCGATTTCCATGCAGCTGGAAGCTCCTCGAGGTTTGTGGAAAAAGCGTCCGAACGCTGATTCCAATCGTTTGCAATTTCATATATATTCCCCTTTCTACCCCTCTAACCTCGCATCTCTACGTTATCTATAATACTTGAGAGTTACGACCACCCCCCCACCCCCCCAAAATCTAAAATTTACATCTTATTTGCCCATATACATACACATATACACATATATATTCCCCTTTCCACCCCTCCAACCTCGCATTTCTATGTTATTTGCAGCACTTGAGAGCCACGACCTCGTTAACGGACCTTGTCTACCTGTATATTTCTATCATATTCTTTTTTTCGAACCGCCTATAGCGTATTTTACACATGCTTTACAATATATTTGCTACCTATGGATTATGTAAAATTTAGCTATACAAACCTAGACATATATATACAATAGAAAAACAATATATATATATACACATTCTAAATATTACATATTGATATCTTGATTTTACATTTATTATATATTTTATTTATATTATACATATTATATATATATTTATATATATATAAATTCTTGATATATAATATATATTGCTATCGATATTTAATATACCATATATATTATGAAAAAATTATTTAACGAATATATTTACCTATATTATATTTTTTTAATTTATTCTGAATATAGTACATATTACATATACTATCTATATTCTATTAAAATCCACATATACGATATATATATATATATTCAATATATATATATATTAAATATATATATATTATAAATATATATATATTATATATTACATATATTTTATTTATATCTTAGATATTATTTATATATATATACCACATATAGATTCCATATTATATATAATATATCCAAGAACCATATATACATTACATATTATATATATATTAAATATATATATATTACATCTGCCTTGAACCATATTGTCGGCCAAGAAACCTTTCCTCCAGCAACAATCGACTTGGCTGCTGAGAAAACCCCCCTTCCCTGCCACAGGGGAGGGGGGGAACCATCTGGCTGGGGGGGGGGTGTGGGGGGTCCCTGCTCATATATATATATAATTAATAAAATAATTTGATATAGTAAGGAAACCCCGCCACCAAATTTTTTTACCACCCTGAATAGTTCCTCGTCGATTTTAGCCAGAGTGCGGGTCTTGAGCACGTAAATTATTAAATAAATCTTCCCATTTAGCCCCTTTTGTGGCAGGGTGCAATTTTATTCCGTAATAAGGTATGGACACGAAATAAAATATATAATATACATAATATATAATATTTCCTGTATTACTAATTCAGATAATTTTTATGCAAAATGACATTTACAATATCGAAATTAATATAGGAATTTTATATCGGATTATGTTGATATTTTTTTGGGAGGAATAATTATATATATAATATAATAAAATTTAAAAATAAGACAATATCAAATAATTAAAATTAATAAAAATATATATTATAATAAAGATCATGTAAAGGTAATACCAAAAGGATAACAAATAATAATGAAATAAAAATGGATAAATATAGAAAATAAAAATTAATAAAATAATGATGAAAATTAATAAAATAAAAAATAAAAATAAAATAATGAAAACCAATCCTGGAAATGAAAAAAATAAATGAACACTCACGGTAAACTATTGAAATATACGGAATAATAATTACAAACAATGGAAATGCTGAAATAGGATGTATAATTATTTGGAAAATAATGATAGAATTTTTGATATAAATTTGAATTTGAAAAAAATCACTGGAAAATGGGTCCTTCAAAATCAGGGATAACATATTGAAATAAATTAGAAATGTTTTAAAACCAATAATAAATTAATAAATTAATTTTAAAACTACGGAATTTTTTACCAAAAATATGAAGTAAATTGAATTATATAAAAATATATCTTTAAAGAATTTCATGAGTGACGTTATTGTGTATTTCAAAAATTCGGATCTGTAAATGTTTGTTTATATAAAAAATTAAAAAAATAAATCAAATATTACGATCTCAAATTGAAATAAAGAATTAAAAATACCAAAATAGAATATAATATAAATATAATTATATATCGTATCCAAAATTTAGATAAAAGTTTCGAAATACATATACGGCATATATTAATAATTTTCTATCTGTGATTTTTGGTGTCTTTTTGAAATGGAGAACCATCAGAATCAAAATGTTCGGGTATATTTTTCCTTCTGGGATTTGGAGCCGGAATATATTCGAATTTTATACTTTTCTTTCTATATTATTCAATAATAGATTTTTAGATACTTGAAATTATCGATAAATTAGCTTAAAATAATGTATAATATATATATATATTGTAATAGGACGGGAAGATAATGAAATTTACGGATAAAAGGAAGAAATGGAGAAAACCCATGAAATCCAGTAATTAAAAGAACCAGAAAATAAAATATTGTAAATACCAGTATTTTTGAAAGCAAAGAAAAAAAACACTGTAAATTACAGCATTTTTGGCGGGTTGTTCGCAAAAAATACTAGTATTTACACGGTTTTTGCATTTTCACGAAAATGTGGTAGGTACGAACATTGTAAATAACGGTATTTTGGCCGCTTTTCGACACTACTAAAATCCTGGTATTTACACAATTTTTTTTGCCCGTGACGGGGCCAAACCCTTGTAAATTACAATATTTGTTGCATTTATTAAACCGAATTTTTGTCTTGATGAACGCCAAAAACGCTACTACTTACACGTTTTTTCAAAAAATCGAAGATAGTGACGTGAACGGAACCCTATAAATAACAGTGTGCTGGCCACTTTCGGGGACTAAAATTGTGGTATTTACGCGAGTTCTTGCAATATGCTGTAAGTTAAAGCACTTTGCGCGCTGTTTATGTTCAATTTTTAAACGCGCGATGTGCTTTCACATATTCTTTGCATTCTTCCACAAGAAACAACATTGCAGATCAAAATTGGACGACAGCGTGACCCAAAAAAAACCTGGAGGGAGGAGACGCACAGAATTTTTTACACACATAGGGGCTTTTACGCAGAAATCTTTTATACAAAGGAAAGATTTTACACAGAAGCCTTTACTCAAAGGAACTTTTGCACACAAGCGCCCAGGAGCTTTCAGACACAGAATTTTTTACACGAAGAAGTCTTTACACAGAAGGTTTTTTTACACACAGATATGTTTGTACCCAGAAATTTTTACACAGAGAAGCCTTTACACAGAAGAGCTTTTTCGCACAAAAACATTGCTACACAGCAAGTTTTTATATACACAGGGGCTTTTACACAGAGAAGTCTTTATACAAAGGAGCTTTTTACACACAGGGGTTTTTATACAGAGAAGTCTTTACTCTAAGGAACTTTTGCACAAGAAACGTCTTGGAGCTTTTACACACAAAATTTGTTAGATAAAGAAACCTTTACACAGAGAATTTTAATACACAAACGCGTTTACACGCAGATTTTAGGTGTAAGAATATAGAAGGTTATTACAACATAGATTCCCCGTTATTAATGTTTATTAATATTTATTAACGTTATGCAGTGCAGTACCAAGATTCTACGACCCTATAACATGCCATGTTTGCTGCAGCAAATTAGAAAAAACCATAGTTCCTTATAGGGTGGAATGAAAATCATGTACCACAGTTTTTGTAGCCACAAATAGCAAGTTGTTTTTTCCTTCCGTTTTCAAGGCTGCTTGTCGGCTCTACAACAACAAATCCGCACCTGCCAACAACGAGGCCAGGCCTCCAGCAGGCTTAGATTCAGTGTTATCAGTCTTTGGCTTGGATCCATCGGGCTGGTCACCCTGGTCCAGCGCTTTGACTTTGTCACGGCCGAAATCTTTGATCTCGGTTCTTTCTAGACCTTCGAGCAATTTAACACGGATTTTCTTAGAAAGCACAACCACCACTTCTCCCAATTTGTTATGATAACAATCCTTCCGTTTGGCAGCAATGGTTCGCACCTTGTCACCAACTTTAAGCACTGCCTCATCCTTGTCACTTGGCGGGGATGATTCGAGGGGCTTCTCATCGTGCGGCGGCTTTGAATTGCCATCGCCAAGCTCCTTTGTTTTTTTTTCCGGTTCTTTCTTGCGGATCTTCTGGGACAACTCATCTGCCAACTTGTGACAAGGGTTGCTGCTGCGATCAACCTTGGGATGCGCGCATTTCACAATGGTACGCACCAAATCATCACTGCATTCATCTTTGATTCCCGCAGAATCAATTGAAGACTCGAACTTTGCAATGCCCAGCTTGAAGGATGTCATGGCCCACACAAAGGCTTTACTCGGTTCACTCTCTGCAAAGCGTATTTTTTTTTTTCCTCCGGTTTGGCCGATTCGCACTAGGCACGGTCCTTACAATTGAGTAAGCGGTGAAAAGCATTCAGAAAAAGGACACGTGTGATCCCTAAAACGCAGGCAAATCATCACATCAACACAAACCAAAAACAAAAAACGCAACCAAAAACGACCCGCAAATCCCCCAGCCAGATTTGCGTTTCGCCAAAAGGCAAAACAGCGAAGCAACAAAGAACGGGGCCGGGCCCAAACAAACAACCAAACCAAACATTCAGTGATTTGCCAAGGATACAGTGACAGAAGTCACTGCATCGTCATCAAAAACATGCAAACTAATTAGGTACTGCAGAACGAAAAATATCGTGCACGATCACCCAGAATCTCATCGCCTGTAATCCGTTGCTGTTGCTCCAGCTCTCTGATAAGTAGGCAAATCAGGAATCGTTAATA